GGCGGGGGGGGCGGCGGAGGCGGCCCCCAGCCCCAGCAGGTGGGGAGTGTTCAGTAAGGCCAGCGGGTGCGGGGGGTGGTGGTGGTGGTGGTGGGCCGGGAATGCGCGGTTGGTCCAGTTGGGGAACTTGCCCAGGGGGCAGGAGGAGACGAGTCTGTGGGGTGGCGGGGTGGGCAGCGGCAGCGGCTGGGGGGCGGCCGCCGGCGGAGAGCCGCCGCCAGGAGACTTGCGGGGGTTGTCCGGGCTGGTGGCCGTCTCGGCCAGCGACCAGATCTTGGGTTTCGGCAAAGCGCCGGCCAAAGCGCCGTCCGTCGGGGAGGATGCGGCGGAGGAAGAGGCAGAGGAGGGGGGAGAGAGGTGGGGCGGCGGCGGCGGGAGCGGCGGCTTGAGGGGCTCCGGGCCGACGGGTGCGGCCGTGGCGGGCAGCTCGCACTTGTGGTGGTGGTGATGGTGGTGGTGATGGTGCAGGTGGTGGTGGCGGAGGTGGTGCGGCTCCCCCTCGGAGGCCTTGTCGTAGCGCTCCTCGGAGCCGGGCAGGTCCTCAAAGCCTTCGGATCCCTCCGAGTCCGTCTTGGAGTCAGAGTGCAGGAGGTCGGCGTCCTGTAGATCGTCCTCCAGCTCGTCCTTGTTGCTTTCGATGTTCTCGGTGTCGATGTTCTCGAGGTCGATCTCCTCCTCGTCCTCCCTCTTGTCCTCTTCCCCCTCGTGGTCGCTCCCGTAGGAGTTGCCCTCCTCGTCCGTCCTGCTGCGGGGGGCCCAGGTCATTTTGTTCTCCTTCTTGAGCCGCCGCCTCGCGTTGGCGAACCAGGTGGAGACCTGGGTGAGGGTCATTTTGGTGATGATGGCCAGCATGATCTTCTCACCCTTGGTGGGGTAGGGATTTTTCCGGTGCTCGTTGAGCCAGGCCTTGAGGGTACTGGTGCTTTCCCGAGTGGCGTTCTTGGGCCGCGACGGGTCCCCGAACTGGTACTGCCCGTAGGGGTAGAAGGCAGGGTGGTGGGGGGGGAAGGCGGCGTGCTGCACCCCCGGGCTCTCCTTCAGCTCGTACTGGGCGCCCTGCAGCGAGAGGGAAGGGGCGGCCCGGCTGAGATGGCGCGCCGGGCCCGGGTCCCTCCGTCCCGCTGCCGATACCGGGAGCGGAGCCCGTCGGCACCGGAGCGGCGGCCGGGCCGCGCTGCCTCCCCCACCGCGGAGCGCCCCGGCGCCGATCCCGGGCCCGCTGCGGCCCCGGCAGCCGGGCCCCGCCGGTGCCCGGGGGTGCCTCGGGGGCAGGACCGGCTCCCCACTTGCGTGTGCGCGGCGGGGCCGGCGGCTGCCGGGGCCGGTCCCCGCGATCGTCAAAACCCCGGGCGGAGCGGGGGGACGCTGCGGGGCCGCAGTTCCAGCCCTGCCCCTCTCCGGCGGCTCTCCGGGGCAGGGCGGCGATAGCGCCCGTCTCTCCCCTGACAGCCCTCCCGGCGTCTTCCCCGGCTCCTCCCGGGCCGATCCCCAGCGCGAACCGAGCGCCCCGGGGAGCGAGCGGCGAGCCCCGGGGACCTCTTACCAGCTGCGGGAAGATGGGCAGCTCTGCGGCGTAGGGCAGGAAGGCTCCGTAGCCCTGGGCGGCGGCGGCGGCGGCGTAGGGCGCGCCGTACATGGAGGAGAGCACGTTGGAGAGGGTCCCGGACGGGGCCAGCTCGGCGCCGCCGCGGGAGCCGCCGCTCCCCGGGCGCTCCGCCGGGTAAAGCGGCCTGATGTACTGGTAGCCCAGCTGGGGGAAAGACATGGTGGGGGAGCGGGGTAGGGGAGGGGGGAGGAGGAAGAGGAGGGGGGGAGACGAGAGGAAGAAGGGAGAGAAAGGAAAGAAAGTAGCAGGGCCGGGAGCGGAGGAGGGAGCCGGGTCGCTCGCCCTCGCCGGCCGCCCGCACTTTCAGCGCCTCCCGCAAACTCCGGTAGACATGGGGGGGGAGCCGGGGGTGCGCGGAGGCCGCGGGCTCCCTCCTGTCCTCGGCCGCCGCAGTAAACGATCCGATCGCTTCTTTCTTCTCTCACTTTTCCTATTGATCTGAGTGGACCCAGGTCAGGTCCTAACAGATTGCCTGAGATTATTGGGACTCTGGGCTCTGATTGACATTTCTAGTCTCTCACAAGCCCCTCCTATTTCTTTTAAGTCTCTCTCTCCCTCTGCCTCCCTCTCTCTCTCATGCCCAGAGCTCGCTCTCGCCGGGTTTGTCACTAGCTGCTTTCCCCCCCCCACCCCTTTTTTTTTTTCTAAATCTGTTTACTGACGTCGCGATCTTTTATTTGAGTTGCTTTCAAATCTCGTTTTAGCGATCGCCAATCAGTTGTGTGTTTTACAAAGGTTTAACCCTGCCTCATGGTATTCTAATTATATAGAGATAGATTTAGATATAATTTCTCCCTTAGCCCCCCCTCACCCAGAGCGTAGGAAGCCAGGGTGTCATTTGTGAGCAGTACACGAGAGGGACAGGGAAAAGTTGTGACATTTAAAAATAAAGGCTCACACCAACCCCAGTTCCCCTTCTCAGGATTTTAGATTTACAAGCTTTCCTTGCCCAGATAAATTTTGTTTTCTTTATTAAGATATTCCCTTATTCCCTTCCCCCACTCTGGCCCTTGCGAATGTTACACCTCCTAATACAGGTTTAAAAGTCTATTGCATTTTTTTAAATTTGCATTTCCAGAACTACCTCGAAAATTTTCCTAATGTACTGGATCTTTAAGGGGTTCTCTACATTTTGTCTGGGCTAACAGTGAGCAGATACAGTGGAAAAGCTAAGTTAATTTTCCTCCTAATAAGGGACTTCAAAGAGTTGTAGGTCACAATTTTACATCAAAGGCAGAAAAGAAGGCAAATTAAAATCTTAACAAAGGAGAGACGGGAGCAGCCCTCTGGGCCATTAGTAAATAAGTGGTGTGAAAAAAGGGACAATGACAGGCACTGGAATTAAACTCATTAACACCTTTTTGTCTTGGTGCGAAATCTCTAATTAGGAAATTTATGATCATTTTGCTTATTCCCTCTGTTCTGAATCACTACAAGGCTAAGAAGGAAGTACCTGGTACGTGCAACATTTGCAAAGGGAGCAGTGGCACGGGTTTGTAAGGAGCCATTGGGAAGGAGTCAAGATACGGTTTAATTACAGAATAGGGTTTGGGTTTTTTTATGATCCACACATTTTAAATTACGGTTTGGATTTTGTTATTGATGTTGTTGCTGGGCACCCCCCCCCCTTTCCTTCTCTGAAACCAGCGTGAGTTGCAATTTAGCCTTTTAAGAGTAGTTAAAATACAGTTCAATCACGGCGCGTCTTTGGCAAGCGCCGGTGCGCCCTGCTCCGCTGCTGCGGGCAGAGGAAGAGCCTGGGCTGGAACCTAAAAAGTTCACACAGCCTGTGGGGAGAGGAGAGCTGAACCTGCCAGCGTTATCTGCTTTTTAAAATACTCCGTGTTTAAATAAAACAAAAAGTTTGAAAGGTCTTTTGAGGAGTTGCGGCTGAAGGAGAGCCGTTTAACCGTATTCCACTCTCTTCCTAAATACTCTCTGGATTTACTGCCTTTAAAATATGATTTAGGTACAATATAACCACTGTGCCCACAGTATGGATTTTTATAACTACATTTCTTTAAAAATGAAATTCATGTCAGATTATGCAGTTAAAGGAATCGACCTTGATAGCTTGCTATAATAAAACTGTATCAGCTTGTAATAAATGCGGATTATAGCAAAGCAAGCTCCAGAATTAAAATTCCCTGAATCAATATATGAAAATCTGTAGGAAACATCTCTAATCGTATTAAGTTCATCTTTATAGCATTTCCTATCTGCTAATCTAGTGCAAAACAACTCTGGGTTGGAGGAATTTATTTTCTTCTATTCAGCGTTGGTGCTTTTGATAGTACAAAGCAAGGGAGATAAAAATATTAAATTCAGTTATAGGTTTATTTCCTTTTTACTCAAAAGGAAAACAGGCGGCTAACGCCACGTCCTGATGTGCTTTAAACTTTTCTGCAGAGGCAGCGCCTGCTGGGGCGACGCGATGTCGAGGAGGTCGGGGGAGAGTTTGGGTGCAGACAACAACTTTTAAAAATATCTACTTCGGAGAGAAGAGGGGCGGATGTGACACTTGGGATTGCCGATCGGTAGCCGTTTGATGCGGTCTTGCTCGCGGCACTGGTGTTACGCGGCCACGGGGGTACACGCGTGTCCCACAAAACCGGACCCGTCTTTTTGTGGCTGCACGTCTGGCGCGGAGTGTCAAAGCTGGAGGGATTATTTTCTGATTTTTAATCAACAGCACAATCAATACGATTTCGTCCCCGTGGGAGCCGCCGGCAGCGGCGGGCGGTGCTGGTGTGGGGACGGCCGGGGGGTGTCCCCGGAGCCGGGAGGGGGCTACTGCGGGTAAGTGGCGGTGGGCAGCCGAGAGGGAGACACGGGAGGAGAGAAATTTATGGGTGCAAATGGACCCAGGTCAGGATGAGGGTGAGGGATGTTTTATTAATGGGAAAGAAACTGAGAGGAACCATAGCTGTACCGAGTGGACAGGAGGAGAAATCTGTAGGGATGCCGTTCTTAGCTGAGAGGGAGGGAAAAGAAAGAGGAGAAGACAGCAAACGGTGGGGACGAGTAAGAGGAAAGGAGACGTCTTCCCGGGCTGCGGGAGCGATGCCCACAGCGAGAAGCGCCGCACGCCTCTGGCAGCGGGGGCCGGAGCGGGACGGGACGAGCGCGGGCCCGGGGGCTGCCGGTGCCGGGCCAGGAGAGCAGCTCGGCAGGGCCAGGCGAGCGGGAGGCGGCCACGGGAGCCGAGCGGGGAACTGAGAGAAGCCCGTTCCCCACGGACGAGGAAATAGCAGAGGAAGAGTGAAGACGAGCGGGGGTCGCTTTGCCTGGCTGGAGCCGAAGGGAGATGAGAAGGAGAGGCTGGAGCCGGCCGGTCCTGCAGGACGACGAGGGGAGCGGTGGCGCGGGGCCCGACGGCCGCCGCCCCCGGGGAGCCGCGGCGGCGGAGCGCTCCTCGGCCGGCCAGACACGTGTCTCCTGGCCGGGACCTGTCAGAGCAGGGAGAGCGGGTCCTGATTTATCACCCGAAACACACACCCCCGCCCGCCCTCCCCCCGGCCTCTCCTCCCGCCTCTCCCGGTGGCTCACAGCATCGCCGAGCTAAAACCGAACGTCCCTCCGGCGGCCGCGGGGCGTCCCCGATCCCGCGGCCGGCTCTGGGGCTGCGGAACCGGACACCCTCCTATAACCCTCCGTGGGCAGCATCGCACCCGCCCCGATGCCCCCGGGACCCTCCTTGTCGCTCAAGCCCCGCCGCGCCCCTCTCCGCCAGGACACGGGGGACCGCGGGGACGGAGGTGGCCCTGGCCCCGGGGTGTGTGTCTCTGCCGCAGTGCCCGTCTGAGGAGCCGAGGGCTGCTCGGTGGAAATTGCGGGAGAGCTGTAGGGAGGGCTGAGGGTTCAGGCTGACTCCCGCGGGGTGCCGGGGTGCGGGCAGGGTGGGAGCTGCGCCGTGCCACGGCACAGCACACGAGGGACGGGACACAGCCACTGGGGAAAGGGAGGTAAACAAACAAGTGGGATTATGAGAAGGGAGGCAGTAAAACAAGAGTTAAAAAATAGAGGGAAAGATCAAAGCGCTGGGTAAAAGACTCTTCAAATTACACGTTTGAAGCTTTTCCATAATTCCAAGGCGACAGATAGATAACAAGCTGCACATTCCTTATCACATATGGAATCAATCTGAAAGGAGTCTCTTGATCAGAATCTGTTAATTGCAGTGACATATGATTTGGAAAGAAAACACAATTAATGACCCTTCATGTTAAAACTGGGAAGAGGCCACTGACAATCCACACACTGCAGCCAACGTCAACTCAACTATTATTTGTTGTAGTAGTAGTACTACTACTAGTAAACTACTAAAGGGAGGCATTCTTCGAGCCTCGGCAACTGTTTTGTCTCTGTTCCCGTTGCATGTTTCTTCAGAAGGGGGAGGAGAAGAGAAAGGGACACGAGTGCGTGAGTGCCTTTCCTTCAAGGTTTGGGGAGCTAAAATGATTTAGTACCTTGTCTGTAAATCTAATGACCTAAGGTGAGAAAAAATACTTCGTCTTTTATTATTACCATTTGTGGTGAGCTTTACCAGGAAACAGCAGAACCCTTTTGAAATGGTAAATATATGTATCCATTTAAAACCCATTATTGCTGAGATTTTCCCAAAGAAAAATAAGGCAAATCTGCCCAATCTCATTTTCTAGCGCCCTCTGTCCACAGCTCCCCTTGGCTCGACCGCCCTTTCCCAGGCGCTGGGGCCGTCGAGCAGGGTGCTCTGGGTCCTATGGGTGCGGGGAGGGCCCGCAGCAAGAGTGGGTGTTCCGCGGCTGTGAATGTGCCATGCGTTCTGTAATGTCAGGAGAGGAGCTAGCAACATTTTCAAAAGCTTTACTCTGTCATTAAAAGGTATTGGCTTTGTTTTAGAAGGGGGAGGGAGAGGTTCATTTGAAGGTTAGAAAGCATACACTTTAATAGGATCGAAGTGAAATTAGTTAATAAGAAAATGCTGCCCAGAAGCTCTCCGGGCTTTTAAGTGCTCTCCAGGCCATTTAGGGAAATTGAATAAGAACAGACTCCGGTACCTGCAGCCCCAACTATTATCTCCAGTTCTGAATAGAGGCGAGAAGGGAAAAATAGTGCCTGAGAGACCTGAAGTCCCGTACACCTCCTGCCAACCTATTTCCTCGAGAAATAATGCCCCC